ACCCAGCAGAAGCCCCAGGCCCTTGAGCTGGAGGCCAGCTGACATCCAGGCAGTCTTTAGAATCACTCATGCTGGGGCTTAAAATCCAGCTTGAACCACCCCGAGCACAGACATTCTAAAGACAAGGGCCCTTGTCCTCAGAGACCCACTTCACAGCTACACTTGTCGCTCTTTCTTTGTTAAAGAGGCTTCGGGGTAGCATCGATATCGACGACGGTTTCTTTCTTCTTGAACATTCCCAGGCATGTGAGGAGATGGGCACTTAACTACATCGCCTCCTGCTAGGAGAGAGAAGCTAAGTGACAGCACACGCTTTACAAGGGGATTATTTGAAGGATGGGGGTCGGGGGGGATCCATTAAATCCCGTACCCTGGCCCAGCTTCTCTTGCTAAGTGACTCAGGAGTGTGCAGGAAAAGGGTGGAGACAATTCACCACTAACATAATAAGCACTAACAGCTACCAGAGAACCAGTTCTGGGTGGCCTCATGGCAATGTAACTGACTTCCATCGCCGCAGGGCAGGTCTTCATGAATTAGCTGAACACTACTTGATATAACTGGGGAAATTCACTTAAAATACTCATTAGCTAATTAACATGCCCCGTGGCTCCAGATTAAGTGCCATATAAAGGATACATTGTCTTCACACGCCAAATCATCTCTCAAGAGGACAAAGAATAACAGATTGCTTCTTCAAATTCAATCCATATATAAAATGTTTATTCTAGAAATAACCTAGAGGTATGGTAGTACACACCTGTAATCCTAGCACTCAAGACATTTGGGCAGGGTGGGGTGGTAAGTTCAAGGCCAGCCTGGGCTACATAGGAGGCCCTTTCTCAACAAACAAACAAACAAAAACAAGTATTAAAAGGAAACTCGGTATAATATCCATCTGAATCTCTGTAGAGTAGAAGCTGGCGCTCTGGACTTGATGTTACATGTCTTCAGGAACTTAGAACAAGGCACTTACGGCAGTCTCCTCGTAATCGAAGCAGAGACGCTGAAACCTGGGTGATTAGTAGCAGTGAGCTGGCAGCATTAAGTTGGCCTGGCTTCTCCCTGCTGATATTAGTATGGATGAGGAATAGCATGTTAAAGTAGCAAAGACTGGACCCACATGCAAGGTGGAAAGAAGACCCAGGCAGGAGAAAACCAAGGGATAGCAAGCCATGAGGTCCAGACCTGCAGCTACAAGGCTGAGTGAATGGAGGGTATATGTTGTGGGCAGGGCTAGGGGCATGTTCCTGGAAACGCCTAATAGTGGAAGCATCAGCCAGGCGGTAAAGAAGCCTAAAGATGGTTAGAGCAGGACTTAGTCACCTGGGTGACAGTTCTTGGGGCTGTCTAGGGGGAAGGGAGGACCCAGAGAAAGAGGTGGCATAGGTCACTGGTTTCCATGGTGATGACTAGACTGTCATCATCAGAGCATGATGGTGTGAGGAGTGAGGTTATGACAGTGATATCTACTAACATCAGCCCTCCAGACCTCCCCAGGTTCTTGGTGTTTATGCATTCATATTCATAGTTCTTTTGAAGGATGGAATATTGTTCATTTTGTTTGAGATTTAGGAACCCAAATGGGACCAATCTAAAAAGACATTATGTCCAAAAGACTGCTTCATTCTGAAAGTATAAACTTATAGGATAATCTACATGAACACTGTTTTATTGGTGCTCATGATGAGAATTTTGAGCAGATTCTCTTTGGAAAATGTATTATCATTCTCTATTGGGACACTAGAGGGGGAAAAAAACTTGTTTCTAACAAAGTGACTTCTGTTTCTCCTTTACTTACATGAAAGTAAAAAAGCAAAAAAAAAAAAAAAATCCCATTTTATCAACAGCTCAGCGCTGTTCTCCAATTTTTTCGCATCAAAAACTGCGGGCCTGTTTTGCTTATGTGTTGTTTTTATTGTGAATGACGCTCTGTGGGAGTCCTTTTTTTATGAGCAATGTGCCACATTCATTCTTTCATCGTTCCTCTTCCATTCAACATCTCACAACTCTCCTTCAAACACACCCTCACAGCCAGCGGGAGGACCTGTGACTGTCACCAGACAGGCCCCAGCAGGACACTAACAGCTGTGAAGAAGTCTGAGGAGGCATTGGACACGCTGGGCTGTAAGCCTGCCTCCCATCTTCCGGCAGGGTGGCCAGGCACCACCTAGTTCTCTAACCTTAACTGTCTCCATCTGTAAAATGAGATTATATGAGTATGGTTTTCTTAGAGCTCGTATGAGGATAAAACTAGGTAATATACATCAAGTGTTCAGCCAGAATTCTTGTTAAGAGTGTGAAAATCCACAAGCTCCTCCCTCAGCTCACATCCTCTCCCGTAGTTCCCACTCTGGATCCGAAATTTACGGTACTAGCTAGGCTGTCCTCTCTGTTCCCATCTTGGGGGTAATGAGGAAGAATATTCGGAATATTTGTTCATGCCCAGCCTTGGTGAGGACCTCGGGAAGTAGCTAAGGGGCTACAGACTCAAGGCCAAAGTTTCTGTTTCCGCAGTCCAAGCCCGTCAGCCTTGGGCAAAGTTGTTCAGCTCACACCTCAACTTTGCTTCTGTAAAATGTCACGGCAAATGCCCACCTCACAGGGACCTGCGCTTGTTACACTGCTAATGTATGTGAAAACTGCCCTAAACAGGAGTACAGTGCGCAATACATGCTCAATAAAGTATCAACAGAACACGAACGTGAGCTAAACGTTGCCTGCCAGCCTCACTTTCCTAGAATTTAATGGCAGCTTTATGATTGGTGGATCCTCCGAGGCCATTTACTAAAATCATGGGCTAGAAGAGCCTTCGTTGACATGACAAAATGTTCCTGATCTTTTATTTAGTGGAAAGTTTTTTACATCCGCGTTACTCTTTTTTCAAACTATACACGTTCATAAAACTATAGGGAAAAGGTCTGCTGGGATTTTGGCAAAATGTTAACCATGATTATCTGTCACTTTTGGCTGTGTAAAGGGGGAGAAAGAGAGAAAGAGTGATTCTCTAGTTTCCACATTCTGCATGAAACATGGATCTTTTTCTACTTGGGGTCAGAAACTAAATATGAAAATTTAAAGGCAGCTATGGTAATAATAAAAAGTACGGTCTGGTGAGTCTTAACTGACTAAAGATTACAAAGGATGCAGAGCTCCAAGCACAGCAGGGACCAGGCACAAAGGAAGGATCGGTGGGGGGTGGGATGCGGGGGGATCGGGGTCAGAGAGAGGACAAGCTTTAAGTCAGAGCTAGGACTCCTTGGGAAAGAACCTGTCCTCTCCCAGCACGTGTTTCTGGGACTAAAGGAAGCCAGGCCATGGCTGGACCAGGCAGGCCACAGGCAATCAAAGTTCATGGGTGAGCTGATAGGCTTCTGAGCTCAGGAGGCATTGAACCACCCTGCCCTTCTGTCTCAGATCCACAGAAGGGTTGATTTACACCCCGGCTTATGCAAAAGCTGGAGGACGATAGAGCGGGTCTCTCTCTCTCTCTCTCTCTCTCTCTCTCTCTCTCTCTCTCTCTCTCTCTCTCTCTCTCTCTCTCCTGTGACTTTCAAGGAGACTTTGATTTACTTGGAGCTTGATTCACTCCCTTCCAGTGAGCAATAAGCCAAAAGCTGTCACCACTAGGTGGCATGCCCCAAATACTATTTAACTTTGAAACTGGTAGAAGAATTGGCCAGGGAACCTGCGGCAGCCTTCCCACCAGAGGCTCTGAAAGTGTAGGCCGGATGAAGACTATTGAAGGTTTTCAGTTTCTCCCTGGTAAAGATAAAGGGCATCCAGGAAAGCCACACCATCACCACCCTGCACCCTGCCCTGACCCCAACACACACTCCTCTCTAGAGTGATAAATTCAGTGTGCTTCTTCTCAAAGGCACAGCAGAGAGTCTCATCAAGAGACCTTTGTCTCCCCCTCTCAAGTGCCTATAAGCAACCATCTCTTTTGCTAATCAAAATAAATGCCCCTTATAATACTCCTGAAAGCTAAAGTAGATCGTGTAAAAAGGATAGCATCCGGTCCTAGATGTAAGACTAGTGTTAGTTGAACTATAACAAGAAGGTCCCTATGTAGGGTCTATTATATTTGAAGGACAAAAATGGTACCCAGACCAAAAAAAAAAACTATCTGACCTTGGCATCTCTTCTAAACATCAGTGATACTTTTAGTACTCTATATTAAGCTACTTGTGATTTGAAGCTTACATGGGTTTCTTTCTCTCTCTCTTTCTTTCTTTCTTTCTTTCTTTCTTTCTTTCTTTCTTTCTTTCTGTTTTATTCTCTTCACCTAAAGTTCCATGCATTGGGTCACCCTATACAGAAGGGGTTTGGGGCTCAAGCACGGTGAGGGACACCTGTAACCTCAGCCCTTAGAGCAGTGGTTCTCAACCTTCCTAATGCTGTGACCCTTTAATATAATTCCTCATGTTGTGGTGACCCCCCATCCACAAAATTATTTCTGCTGCTACATCATTATTGTAATTTTGCTGCTGTTATGAATTGTAATGTAAAAATCTGATGTGCAGGAGATCTAACATGAGACCCCCCCGTGAAAGGATCATTCAACCCCCCCCCAAGTGGGCCTTGACCTATGGGTTTAGAACCCACTGCCTCAGAGCTGTAGCAGGAGGATTGCTGAGTTCAAGATAAGCCTGGGCTACAGAGTGAGTTCCAAGCCAGTCGGGGATACACAGCAAGACCTTAGTGGACAAAACTCAAGACAAATAGGGCTTGGGGTGGGTAGGGATGGATTATTGTGGAGCATTTGGAAAGTACAGGACAGGAATGGGTTGTTGAACTTGAGGACACTGAGTACAATGAGCCAATAAAGCTCACAAAACTCTCGACATTTTTCTTTTTTGTTTTCTTTCCTCCTCCTCCTCCTCCCCCTTCTCCTCTTTTTCTGCAACACAAGGAGTTTCATTACGAATAAGCAAAGCAAACTAAAGCAATTCCTGCTTAAGCACACTGAACTAACTTCTATCCACACTGAGTGATCTAGATCTGTGTGCTGCATGGTTTTTCTCCTCGGCCTCTGTCCTCAAGATGCTGAGAAATCTTAGGCTATGCAAGTGTGGACTCAAAGCCCAGCCTCATCTGCAATGTTATGGGAAAGAACTACACATGATGAGACAGTGATATGTTCCCATATGCCACTCGGACAGCGCCCGGGGAAAGGGAGTTGCTGGGGTATCTATACTGGACTCCGGGCATTTTAAAATGGGAATCTGGAGCGGTTGGAGAAACAATTGAAAGAGGACCCAAAAGAAGTAAATGCGGCAAGGTATTTTCTTGCATCGTGTACAGATGTGCCTTGGGTTATCTGCGCCATAAATCTCTGGTGATAAAAATGTAAAGAAATGCAGGCTCTTGGTATTGCTGATCAATAACTCTAAAAGGAGGGCCTGGGGAGATGACTCCATGGGTGAAGTCTTTGAAAAGCAAAGGTGAGGACCCTACATCGGATCCACAGCAACCGGACCAATATTGGGCAGATGTGCTACCCTGCCTAGAGTGTTGGCACCTCTGCGGCAGAGATAGGGTATCCCTGGAGCAAGATGGCTAACTTGTTAGCCCTATCTGGGAGCTCTGGGTTCAGTGAGAGTTTCTGCTTTAGTGAATAAGGAAGGAAGTGGTCAAGGAAAACTTGCACTATGAATCTTTTGCCTCCACATAACTGCACACAAATGTGCACCCCCACATGCAAACACACACCCTACAGATATGCATGCAAAAAAAAACCCCAAATATTTGAATAGGAAATTTCTCAGCTACCCTTTTACTTAAAGAAAGAAGATGCAGGAGATGTGACAGTAAACAGAAGGGTGAGTTTGTTCGTGTGGTTTTCTTCTCGTGACAAGGCTCGACTGTAACCCACAGTGGCCTGAAACTCCATGGGTATCCCAAACTGCCCTCAAACATATGGCAATGTCCCTGTGGTTCAGTCACCAAGCAAGGTGTTGGGATCTAGGTGAATACCGTCACACCTGGCTAAGAACAGATTTCTTTTTAAACAAACATATGGTTCCATACAAAAGGACATCACCTCTTTCAGTGCAGGCACTGATCACTCATTTTGGTGATGCAAACCATTTTGGTACTGTCCCCATTTTAATTGGTTTTAATATCTGACACATACACTTTGAAAAGTTACAAGGCTAATAAAAATATCATTTATTTTTAAAGTGGACTCTATTTGTTTGTAAAACGAAAGGCTATTTGGAGCTAAATTTGGCAAACAGGTAGGAAAGATCATAGTAAGGATGATCCTCTTCGGACAAAATGGGGTGGACTGTGACCTACCAAATGGATGATCTCTGGTCACAATGGTCCTCGACCCCCGCTACACCATTTGATTAGCTTTGAGGATGTAAGCAAGTCAGAACAGGGTCATGTGTTTCATTTTCATGATCCATAGTGGTTCTCAACCTTCCTAATGCTGTGACCCTTTAATACAGTTACTCATGTTGTGGTGACCCCCAACCATAAAATTATTTTTGTTGCTACTTCATAACTGTAATTTTTAGTAATCATAATGTAAATATTTGATATTTCTGATGGTCTTGGGTGACCCCTGGGAAAGTGTTGCTGAACTCCAAAGGGGTTGAGAGCTGCAGGTAATAACAATATCTACCCAGCAATGATGCTATGCCATTAAATGAAATATACATGGTGGTTCTGGTAGACCAGCGATAGCGGGCACAATGTCGATAATCACAGATTCGTAGCAGCCACAGTAATATGTGGCTTATGAACTCAAAGAGACTATTTTAACAGTAGGTAACCTCCATAGAGTTCCAGCTTTGATTAACTTGCACGTGCCTTCTGGCATGTTCTATCTTCTTAGCTGCTGACAAACTAGCTCTTATTTCAGTTCAGGTGACATATGTTTTCTAAAGAGCTCCTCCAGGCTGCGCAGATATTCAAACAGAGTTTCTGCATCCATGGTTTTAAGTCATCGTACCAATATAGTAAAGTTAGTCCAGGTTCTCTGTTCCCTAGCCTTGTCTAATTGGATGTCTTCTGCTCGTATACAATAGGAACGTATGGGGCTAATGCAATCATTTGAAGACTGATAGGACAATTCTAATTAGTCAGGGACTAAGGCAGATCTACTCAATCAATCCAATAATTGTTAGCCAACAGTTTGGGGCTGCTAGGGTTAGGTTACCCACTAGAGATATAGGGGTGAGCAACATAGAGCAGGTAGACAGTGTTTGGATTCTTTTTTTTTTTTTTTTGGTTTTTTGAGAGTGTTTCTCTATGTAATTTTGCACCTTTCCTGGATCTCCCTCTGTAGCCCCGGCTGGCCTCGAACTCACAGAGATCCGCCTGGCTCTGCCTCACAAGTGCTGGGATCAAAGGCGTGCGCCACCACCGCCCGGCAGTGTTTAGATACTTAAAACAGCTTTCAGCTTATGGATGCATACGTACATGTGCACAGAGAGAGGGAGACAGAGAGACAGAGACTGAGGCGGAGAGAAACACAGGCACAGAGACAGAGACAGGGAGAGGGAAGGAAGGAGGGAGATGTTAGAAAACCATCTAAGATACTGACTGCCAACACAGTCGCCACTGAAGCAAAACCATTATGTTGTTCTGTTCACACTGTCCAAGTTACCAGTGCAAGCACTGTCTTTTCAACAAGTATACAGAAGTTAAAAAAATCAACCCTTTACATAAGCCAAGAAACTGCATGGTTTGTTCATTTCTGTATTTTATAACGGCTATGTGAAATCTTTATACTTACCTCTTCACTTAGGAAGAAAATTAAATCATCCCTTTCCACATAGGACTTTTCCCAATCCCCAGCCATGAATTACTCCTAATTTCCCTTGTACACACACAATAACAGCTGTACAATCAATCAAGCCACCCACGTGCTATGGTGATGGACTGTTAAAACGCTTGGCTAAATGAATTTGATCGTGGAGGGGTTATCAGGACCTCACCATCTGGCTGAGCAACCATTTCCAAAGCTGCTCAGCAGAATCTGCAGCCAGGCAGCAGAGTGGTCCAGCATCCTCATCCATCAGTGGTGTGTCTCACTAAGCAATGGCCTTCCCCTGTGAACACCGAGACACGTTTTCCTCTCTGAAGCTCATTGCTGTGTGCCCAACTCTAGGGAGCAGTATGCCCTTCAGTTTTAACCTTGCCAGAGAATCCATCAGTCTATCAGGAAGCATTTATTAATCATCTCCCACATTCAAGGTACCATGATAAATTCTTCGAAGCATGCCAAGAAATATAAGAGGTGGCTTCTAACCCATGAGAGTTTATTGTCTAGTTGGAGAGATGGAATACATAACAACTCAAAAGGTAGAATCAGGCAAGGCAAGATATTGAAAGTGACAAAATCAGAAGTGGGAGCAGAAGGAAACTAACATTTATCAAGTGCCTGTACGTAGAGCAGGACACCTTTCCTGCTCACTCAATCATCCTGCCAGACCTGCTCTTAACTCCATTTTATAGACTCAGACATTAGGGAGGTTGCATAGAATCACATGAACAGATAGATAATGCCAGAGTCTGATTTCAGGGCTCTGCTCTCCTGACTCTAAAATATAGACTTTCTCAGGATATATCACACTTCCCACTGAAAATTAATGCTGTAAGCATGATCTGAAAAGACTCACCACTGAGCAGTACCATAAAACATCCATGCATGGAAGGCAGAATTTGAGGAACTCTTAGAAAAGGTTAAAAACCGGGACGGGAAGAATGCTCTGCGGTAGGAAGAAGGAAGCATGTATGTTCCTTCCACTTTGTGAGGAAGTGTCTGCACGATGGTGCAGAGATGGAAAAGGTCAGCATGATCCTCAGATGAAATAAAGGTTTTGGGGACCAGCTAGCTATGAATCAAAAGCAGCCACCCCCAGCATGGGACTGGCACAGGCCAGAGTGTCTCGAAACCTTTTATCGCCGGGCGGTGGTGGCACACACCTTTAATCCCAGCACTCAGGAGGCAGAGCCAGAAGGATCTCTGTGAGTTCGAGGCCAGCCTGGGCTACCAAGTGAGTTCCAGGAAAGGCGCAAA